ACAGGCATGTATGAGGCCTCAGATCAGGTTACCATTACCAATGAGCAGGCTCTAATCAAGTATAACACTACTCTCACACCCTTTTTCTTCTTGTTATTATTTTTTTTAATTTTAGGATACTATTATATTTATGTTGACTAATATTATATTTGTTTTATTTGATTGAACGTTGTAGGTTGGCAGATGTACTCTCCAAGGAGAAGCGTATCCGGGAGGCTAGATCACCAATGGGACATTCTCCAAAGTTAGATCAATCGATTATCCTGAATAACTAAAATCAAGCTCATGAAATTTAGAGGTGGAGACCTGATTATTAACCTCACAATTCATTATTAGTTAGTGAATATGAATAAAGCCTGGGTGTGCCAGTGTAGTAATGTAACTCATATTTTCATATTTTACGTAATTTAATAAGTAATTAGTTGAAATTCACATTGTAATTTTCTCAGACAGATAAAATGATATTCATTTATAAACTTATATATATTTGATTAATTTATTTTTGTGTCACGAAGACATTGTAGTAGTCTAGTAGAGGTCGACGCACGAATTCATCGATTGATGACGACGATTATATTGACCCATTACCCAACATGAATGGTTTTATCTAAAGTTTTAAATTTGTACTTAAATGGTAAAATCGATGACGGGTGTTAAAATTGATAATGAAGAAAAAAAAACATGTGCACAATTCTAATATTTGAAGTATGAGAGAAATATCAGAATAATCCCTTAAATATTAATTCTGTCAATTATATTCACGAAGTTGCTAACAAAAAATCTGAATCTGATATATGCCACATGCACCTCACAAAAAATATCGCTTGCCACTCAATTTAAACGATGTATACTGATTGGACTAAATTGATATAATAAGTATCTTTCCCTCTCCCTCTCCCTCTCCCCCCCTCCCGTCCTTTAACAGTGCGACAACCACAGTCACCACCAATGCCACCATAGCCACCACCGAACAACACCCCACACCCCTACAACACTATCGAAAGCCTCCCTCAGCCGCCAACGACCACCAAAAAAAGCAGGTATGGCCTGCTATGGACCAAAAAATAGCCTCAATCTCTCTCTTCTCCTCTCTCTCCCTCTGTCCATCGCCTTCCATCAACCAAACCAAACCCAATCCAATCACTACTTTGGAAAACTTTTTTGACTAAAATCATGGAAGCAAGTACACATCTACAACTTTTTTTGATTGATTATTTCTATAGTCTATATAGTTAAACTCATGAATTTGGTGATTTCTCGGGTCCCAAGTTAAAACAATGAAAAAAGAAATCCATTTTGCTGTCTAAGAAATATTGGACTGGTTTTAAATTTGTATATGAAGATGTTCTTTATAGCTATTTTTTAACCTTTTTCTCCCCAAGAGGTGGTGACTGAGTAGTTATTTTATTGAGATTACTTGGTCACAGGCCTCATTTGAACGGTGTTTTTATTTCGATTAAATTAGAGAGAGAAACTCAGAAAATGTCTGCTAAAAATGAATCCTTTAGCATGAGGTAAAATGGGTTTTCTTAATTTTTCAATGTTGTTGCAGGTGTAGACTGAGTGATAACCAAATGAAAAAATTACTCAGTCCAGAAATTATATCAGTAATTTTCAACACTTTTATTGTGCCCGACATAGTCTAGAAAATAAAATAATTTGACTGTATATCAATTTCTAGAGAGTAATCTGACTATATAACTCATTCACTTGAGTAATTTGATAATAAGTGTTGAAATTTTGTTACTTATTAATCATCATGCATGGCTTTTAATTACATCAGTTCCTTCAAATTACATCAGTCTTAATTTTTCAACGTTGTTGCAGGTTTAGACAGAGTAATTTTTCAATGTCCTTTACCACTCACGCACTCAATGTTCAACAATACCATTGAATTCCATCATCTCTGATGTAATTTGTTCCCATCAACATCCTTTTTTTTGCTTGCAGTGTTTTGCTTATATTTCAACTCATGGGCAGACCATATAGAAATGCGTATCGTCATAGTGTCCGGTATAGCTTCAAATGAGGGATTAAACGCAACTAAGTTTTGTGGTGAAGATATATTTGGTTTGGAAACTGTTAAGGCCATCTCATGGTAGGTCCATGGGGTGTGGTGGCAGAGGCTTTTAGGGGATAAAATTACAAAAGTCTATCTTCAATGCTACAAAAATCCCAATATTGGTTACAAACATTAAATGAGATTGTTTTATTTGTTTTTTTAAAAAATATATATTGATTGGCGATAATCAAAATTTTGTGTTATGGATCGGTTTCATGTATATCTAAATAGTTATAATTTTNGCTGCAAAGTCTTGATATCGAAAGTAGGAATGACAACATTGGTTAAGGTTTGATGCAATCGAGTCTCTCCTAGTTTCTCCCTTACAACTTGATGAAGATACTTCCCATCATACTTGGGTCCTGCTAATAAGTTCAATCTGTTTCTATGTGATGCAAACATGCCCCTGCCATGGCAGCAATTCAAGCTACCATTACAACTTTCGCCTTTTTCATTTTTGAAAAAATGAAGCAAGAAGAACATAAGAGTAGGATCCATGTGGCGTTTGGACGCATTTGAGGTATATTGCATGTCTATTTTTTATCAATGAATTACATTTACTCAACCAAAAGAAAAAAAAAGAAGGCAAAAAAACATATCATGATTACCTTTTCTGTGGAAAAATTTTTGGACAATTTTCGACATAAAAGGGCTTGATATCTTTAGCAGCAAATATAGGACGATTATTTTCATCTGGAGCTGTTAACATGGCAGTCACAAGGCCACCAGTACTGGTTCCTGCAATCACGTCAAAGTAATCTGCAAGTCTTGCATCCTCACCATCCAACTCCTGATCCAAAATAACATTATTTGAAATTAATTAGTTAATCTTTCTGCATTTCGTTTTTTTTTATATGATGTAACTCTGTGGACCTTCATAATTTGAAGATGCACCCAATGTCCAAAACCCACACTCATAGAATACCCTATGCACACTTCACCAAGAAATGTGCGATCAGGTGATCACATATGATATTTGTGCAATTTTTACATGAAATCATGAATGAAGATCTCTCTCCCTCACACACACACAGACATATGCACGTGCACACTACTATGTCAGTAGAAAATAAAACTAACCTGAAGTTGGGACTCAAGGTAAGCAAGGATAGTGCCAGGGATGATCCCTCTGATACCACCTCCATCAATGCTGAGAATGGTGATTAGGTTTCCGTAAGTTGGGGGCTGAGATGAGAGTCTCTCCATTTGAAACTGATTGTAATAATGGACTATTGTTAGCCTATGAGATTAGAGAGCTCAAGCTTTCGTGGTTTGGTTTTCCAACAAAGTTAATCTATTTATAGCCCTCAACATGCATGGAAGAAACTTCCTTGCACTCTCTTTCATCGGCTATGTAGAGCAATTCGTGATTATATTGTTAAGAGCAATGTTATTGATAAATGTTGAAAACTGAAAAATATAATAAACATAATTTAGCTAGGTTGGCGTTTACATCATCCATTCCAAATAACACCTTAAACTCTATTGATATTTTTCCTTGTCAATTGAAGAAGATAACAACTAACTGTCGTGGGATGACTTTGTTTCAAATGTTTATGATAGTTGGCAGGCCCTCATTAGTTTGAATTATACAACTATTCAGGCAAGAGTTCTAGTAAAGAGAGATTCATTCATGAAACGTTAAAATCACAACTAAATTTACAGTATTTCTCATGTGATGGGATAACTTTGTTTCAAATGCTTGTGATTGTTGGCAGCTAGGCCGTCATTAATTTGAATTATACAACTATTCATGCCAGGGTTCTAAGAAAGGGACCTATATCTTAAGAAGGAAACTAAATTTACGTTTCTCATGTGGTGGGTAGCTAGGCCCTCATTAATTTGAATTATATAACTATTCAGACAAGAGTTCTAAGAAAGAGAGCTATATCCTAAGAGGAAAATTATGTTTATCTTTTTTGCAGTCGTGGAATAACTTTGTTTCAAGTGTATATGATAGCGATTGGTAGATCATCATTAATTTGAATTATAAAACTATTCAGCCAAGGGTTATAGTGAAGAGACTCATTCATTACACGTTAAAATCACAAATTAATGAAGCTATATCCTAAGAGGGAAACTATATATATTTACATTGTTGCCGTTCTTTAACGTGACATGGTATCATAGTTGTTGGAGATATTTCCTCTTCAAAATTACTATTTTCCCCCCTTTTCCGATTTCTAAAATTTCAAAATTTATCCCCACATTATCAACCTATCTATGATGACATATAGCCAAGTTTGTATTGTATCAAGTTTGTGTTGTGCATTTGTTTATACATACCCATGTTTTGTTTAGCTGGACTAATATTTATTGACGGGTTTAGCAAGGTCACCAATATATTACGTAAACCTCTCTATTCCAACACCAAACCATCAAAGAGGTAGGTAGCTTGGTGAAATCACTTACATCTTCCAAAATTAAACTGCAGGAAGTGTGTTCTTATCCCTTCTAAATATTTGTTAGTTGACAAACCACGGTATCTATGAATTGCTTACGCAGTCAGAGGCTTTCTATAATAAATCTCATGGTATGTGAAGGTTACCGTTGAGCTCCGCAGGCGGCTTATGGGTTTTAAAAGAGTTAAAAAATAATGATAATAACTTCCATGTGTGGCTAAACAAGTAAAAATGAAATTTACTTGGTTTGTGAGAGATTCAACACAAATTGCTGCTAGGTTTATGGCAGATTCCTCTAGAATTAACAAAGTCAAACAGAATTTCAGATAACAATCTCTGAAATTCTCTCAAGAACAGAATGAAGAAACGTTTGTTTTGTATATATCTAAATTGAAAAATCTATACAAGTATCTATAATACCTTAGTGAGGAGACACAACTCTTAGGCCAAAGAGATGTAAAAAGGAGACACAATTTTTGGGCCAAAAGAGATGTATAGAGGAGACACAACTTTTGGGCCAAAAAATATTTAGCCATTAATTAATACATAATTATTTAATTAGTTAAAGGTTTCAAGCCCAAGCGCCCATATTTTGAATTTAAAGATTATTTTATTTAAAGTCTAATCAAGGTCTATTGATTTGAAATATTTGGAGCTTCTCTCTAAATCTTTCCACCAACCAAATTTATAAAAGTTTTTGNGTGCCCATCTTTTGAATTTAAAGATTATTTTATTTAAAGTCTAATCAAGATCCGTTGATTTGAAACATTTGGAGCTTCTCTCTAAATCTTTCCACCATCCAAATTTATAAAAGTTTGTGTGTTTCTGCTTTTAAACCTTTACATTTCTTTTCAACTTTTTCAACGTGAAATTTTTATATTACTAAGTATCTCTAACATATGATGCATTCTGCGTGTAAAACGTGTAACTAAGCAACGTGCACAACTGAATCAACAAAGTCATTGTTGATCAGTTTGCTCAAGAATTATGTTAGAATGATTAAGAAATAAGACCGAAAAGAGGGACTAAAATGACGTGGTGTTAACGCAATAATGCTTTTGGTTAAATTTTCACTCATTCAAATGAAAGTGGGATAAGTTTAGACTAACCAAACAACTAGACTAAATGATATGACATTAATTAGTTAACTAGTAAAGGATAATGCTAAAATTAGGGGTGTCAAACGTGTTAAGTTAAATAATTACGTGTTTGGTTAAACGAATGACGGGTGAAAAATATGTAAACTCATACACGATTCGTTTCATAAAAGGGTGAAAAACCTCAACACGAACACGAATCATTTAATAAATGGGTAATACGATACGACTCATTTAATCTGTTTAGTTTTAATTTATTATTATATTTTTTGTGACTATCACTAAATTAAAAAAAAAATGTGGCCATCACTAAAAATAATATATATTCTGTGGTTGTCATTAAAAAAAATCTGCTTAATTTTTAAAAATAATTATTAATTTATTATTATATTAATTTTATTTAAACAGGTAAACGGGTTGATATGACTCACCCGAACATGACCCATTTATTAAACGTGTTAGACTGGTTAACTCGTTTATCATCCAAACCCGTTAAAATTTCATCTAAATTCACTTAATTCATATAATTGTGTCATGTCGAACTTTGACCGTCCTAGCTAGAATGATTAAAAATAGAACTGAAAAAGGGACCAAATAATGTGGTACTATACCAACATAGTAGTGCCCTTACTTTTATTTTTACTCATTTTAATAAAAGTTTGATACGCCAGTTTGATACGCCATAGTACATAGTACTATCCTTTTTTTTCTATTCATTAAGGGAACACCAGTTTGATACGCCAGTTTTATATGTTCACTTTTTTTAATTACACATGCGTGATGTTTTTTTCGAGTACCAAAGGGAAGTTTTGAAACTCCTGCCAAATTCTAGGACTCTTGAGTAACTCGAGTTTATTGCTGGAGTGCGCATGAGTTTGCGAATATTCAAGTTGAATCTGAGATGACCCAAGCTCAACTTCTCAACAAATCAAATTTTTTCATAGCTTAATAATTATTTTCGAAATAATCAGTTTCTCAATAAAATTCTTATAAAATCAGGGTAATATTAAGTATAAAACCAAACCTAGAAATTCAAACTCATGCATGGTATGTTATAGGGTCATTTACTTCTTGTCTTTCAAGACAAGAAACTCTTACAAGCCTTTCAAGACTGTCTTTTGTTTTTTGGTGAATCACACAAATTCATTGAATCAAATGATATGCAAATGAAAAGGTTCGGAAGTGTGGGCGTGTGTTTGTATATGAGAGAGAGACAGAGAGAGATCAATGAAACTATTATGCTTTTTCTGGGGGGTCAAAGGTCCCCATGAGCCCTCCCTTAAGTAGACAATGGTTGCACTAGTGTCACCAAGGCTTTGAGTCGAGATATCACACGTTAAAGTTTGTTGATGTGGGAAAATTCTCACCGTTCAAAGAGAAATGAAAATCTATAAATATTTTCTAATTAAAGAACGTCTATCTTTCGATCGCATAGCATGTTTTACAAATTTGTGCGAAGAATAAAAAATAGTTAAATTTGACGACAAATATGAGAAGTAAACGGGCATATGGTCAAGGGATAACAATGTGATGCACAACATTGAGGCTTGACGCTTGAGCCTTGTTGGTCAGTGCCTTGCTGGTCAGTGGCGATCTTAACTCTCGAAGTCTCCTTTCATTGCAAAGTAGTCTGGCAAACCTGTGAGAGGTAAAAACATAATATTTTAAACTTTTGTGGATAATAAGAAAATACAAATAACTCTCGAGCTTACTTTATTTCTTACTTTTTAAATAAGAACATGTATTTGTTTTGGTGAAAAAGTACCATTGAAAAGCGAGAAGCAAAAAAATTATATATCTCTAAGCGCAAAAAAGAATTGCTTGTATCTGGATTTACTCTCTTCTTTAAGCTTAATTATATGTATATATTACTTGTAGATTAAAATATATTATCCATAAATAGTTATCATACATGTTTTTTTTGGCTTTTGCTTTCAAGAAAAAAAAATATGTGATAAAAATATGTGTTTTATTTACGAAAAAATACTTCAAGAAAACGTTTTCAAATAATGTCTATTTTTTTTTACCTCTTGAGAGCATCCTCATTTGTGCCTGCGTTTTCAACTGGTTTGTGGAGTCCCGTCTCCAAATTTACCCTTGAAACTGGTTTCTTCAGTAGATTTTCACCTATTTTTACCAGTTTTTCCAAGTTGGCCTTCGTCGCAACATCAACTGAAGCTTCTGTACCAGTCAATGTGTCTTCCTGGTTTTGCAAGCAATATATTAGTATGTGTTATATCAAACTGTTAACCACCTAATCAAACAATACATGGATGGAAGATGACCCGTTTACTTTTGGTGGGATTTCAAAACTATATTTGCATCGCGACGAGTTGAGAAGGTAGTTAGCGTTTAAATCATTTAGACACAAATTTCATCATTCAACCACCAAAGTGGCATAATCAGTGATTAGAGAATTAAAGTACATTTTGTATATACTTTAGAGACGAAAAATATATTTAATTTGTAAAATTAGAATTAAATTCAATGAGATTGTATGTAAGCTTACTTGAATTCGAAGGTAATTTTCTTCTGAATGAAGTGCTTGGAAAACCACAGAATTGTGAAAATCAACCATATCTCCACTTGATTGAGTAAACACATCCACCAATGGAGTCGAACCTCCATGAATTAACCAGCCTAGAACTCCCCATTTGGCAGCCATTTTACCATTGTATTTCTGTTCAATCTTTGCTGCCCCTGTGCC